GGGAAAAAAGAAATAAATGAAAGAGGTCCACATGGCTGTCCGGCAACAGTGGCGACCTGGTGGCAGTCCTTACTGTGATGAAACAGAGGGCTCAGTGTGCTTTTYCTGTCGCCGGCTTAGCTTCTTCCAAAGTCCAGGACGAGACAGAGAGGCGCCACTTCTTCCCACCGGCCCCCGAATTGGACCGGAAGAAAAATCACAGGAGCTCGCGGAGAGGGTGGCAGTCCAAGGAGAGCTGTTTGCCCAAGCTAACAAACCCGAGCTAGCTAAACGGCATCAACGTAACTCCCCTGCATGCTTTGAGCAGGACTCCTGCAGCACCGAGCTGAGCTGCAAAAGCCAACGGCTGCACTGCAGCCCCGGCTTTTAAACTGCCTGTGCCGCCCCTTCCCCTTGTTCCGGGTCAGATTTAAAGGCACAGACACCTTCTGGGCATACAAACTGACGGCATATAGGAATACAGGATTGGCACAACATCAACCAAAGACAAACACGCATCCAAAAGCCATCTGTGTTGCTTACGGCTCTTCATTGTTTCCTTGCTTACTTTTGGATACTTTGCATTGCAGAATGATCACAACTATAATTTACATTTTTAGATTTCCATATTCTGCTTCGTCTGGTTTTGTTTGTTTGTTTGTTTTTTATTTGCAAGAGACATACGTCTTTTCATGTTTGCTTGGATTTCCCTGTACATGGTGTAGCAAGTTGGAAGATCCCACCTTACTTGATAAATCATGACAGAAGCCATTGTTTTACGAACTCAGATGAGCACCTTGCGCACTGAGTGCAAGGGTGAACTAAGCTTGTGTTGAAAGTCCAGCCTAGAGCTGGAGACTGAGTTTGGTGGATGTTGAAGGGAAGTGGGAACTGGACATCTTGGTAGCTARGCACAAATAGGATTGAAGGTTGGACTAAACATCAGTGTGGTGGGCAAAGTTAGAAATTAGGAACACACTCAAATAGAAGGAATAGGACAAGAGCCCCTRTGGGATTTGGAAAGCACCAGAACAGATATGCAGGTGCAGTTCTGTGTGGATACTGCCTTGGTATTTGTATGTCATCCTCAGTACTTTGAAATATTTTTCTCAGTGGATATTTTATTATGTTGAAAGTATTTACCCTGATTTTGCATAGTTAAGATACATGGCACAAATATAGTGTGGATCTGTGTTGCTGCCTCACTTAGGTAGAGGCTGGGCATCATGCCCATGTTCAGACCTTAGCCAGACCTTAGCCTGTTACGGAATAGGACTGTGTCTCCAGCACATTGGGATTAACTTGAAGTGTGAAGCTTTTTTAGTTTTCTTCTGAAGGAATTGGACCATCCTGGATGAATGTTTGAAAGATTATTAAATATCATTACATAGAATACATTACAATAATACAATTATTTTTTCAGAAATCAGTTTGTCTGGGAGAACAAGAAGAAACCCCTTTTTACTCAAATCAGTTCTGTTATGCCCACTGCTTGATACAAACTGCTTTTATATCATGAGCATTGTTTATGCTCTCTTGCTTACTTCGTACTGAGATCATGGGGATTCTGAGAGGGGAGAATGTGGAAAGTTTTGTTCAGCTTAAGCAATTAATTCTCCTGTGTTAACAGCTTCAAAATATSCCCAGAACCTGGAGATTGAGACATCTGCCAAGCATTACTCAGTGTTGATGCTAAATGGCATCAAAAATATTTAYTTCTATTGATGCCTCACAGTAAAAACTGTGGTAAAAAACTTAGGATAGAGCAAGAATATAAATTTCCAGTCGAATGAAAATATAAATATCGCACTGTCTAGCAAAAGGTCTACTCAGRTCTTCTGACTGAAGGACACTGAAATTAAATGCTTGCTGGATCTGAGGGAAGTAGTATGGGGAAAAAAAGTAGTATTGAGAAAATATTTTGTCTGAAAAGGTGGCAGCAAATCTGTGATGAAGTAAAGGAATAAAATAGAGAAGTCTGAACATTACTTTCATTTTTAAAGTTGTGTTTGATTTATTAAAGATAGTA